AAATTTCAAGGTCAAACTCCTTGATTTTTGGGGTGTAATAGGAAGAGGGAAGATCATAGAGGGTTTTCCAAGTGATGGATTGATGTAACTCACCGGAAAAATGACGAAATTTCGACGGAAATGGGTGAAGAACACCGGCGGGTCGCGCGGGTACACGGGTTGGGGAATACCCGTTTCTTCCTTCTCTCCTCCGCTTCTCGCCCTCTCTCCTTTCCTCCTTTCCTTCCTCTGGTTGGCCAGTCAGCTTCTTCTCTCCTCTCCCCATTCGGCCTCTCCTTCTTCTTCTCCGATTGGGCAGCTTTGCCCAATCTCTCATTCTCTCTGTTTTCTTTTTCCTCTCACGCACACACACATACAAAACTTTCTTTCTCTCATCCCAACCATCCATTTCAAATTCCTTTAATCTGGGCCATCCAAATTTTAATAATAAAATTTATAAAATGCCCAAACTTCAAACTTTAAAATCTTTTTCGTTATAACTCCAAATCACGAACCGTCTGCGCCCACGCTTCCGTAGTGACGAGTACTATGAGGATATGTCAAGAAAACAAATCTTAGATGGCACGACACAATGATTAACCTCGAATAATGCACGTACCTCAACATGCATTTTTATAAAATTCTTATTAAAACTTTAAAAATTCTTAAAATTAGGGACGGACTATCACAGTACATGTCACTTAATCTTTTATGAAGATTAGCATTGAACGGCACTGTCAGCCACGACATGCACTTGAAGTGTTCATTGAATTTTTCCTCATAACAGTCGAAGGAGAAAAAAATTATCTCAAACTCTTTGCCCTTCCACTCAAAGCATTTCATAAAGTCTCACCATCTGAGAAGTAAGAGCCTTGCAAGGCCTACATGAATTTGCAGAGAAGTAGAGGCACGCCATCTTCCCATCACATGACGATAAGGGTACGTAATAATCTTGTAACTAAACCAAGATTATATTTTAGTTATCATAATCAAGATAAAAAATTCACCTATGAAATTGAAGGCATGTTTTTCTATTCTACGAACCTACTTGAACCTCACATCCCTATATTTTCATGAAATTGAAACATTTTTGACATCCAACAACCGAATTAAATTATGACTGATTCAAACAAGAGGAAGACGAGGAAGCTTTTGGAGATTACATACTAACATACATTTGCTTAACCATATAGAAGGAACTCAACAACTTCAAATTTAAGGATAGTTGCTATATTGCTGCTATGCACTGCCATCAAAATTACAAGCAAAGTATAGCCTCCGCTCTTCACGAATGAAATGAAAAGAAAGCGTGACATTCACACAAGTAGCTAAACTTTAAAATTTTAAATCCCATATATGTTTCTGCAAGTAATTATGCTTTGAAAAAAGGGTTGATTGTGAAATCACATGAAAAAATTTTTGCATAAATCGATTCATACCTTAGTTGGAGGATTCAAAACTTCAAAATCATTATCCATCGTTCAAGAAAAGCTTGTCTTTCTCTATGAGAATGTCTTTGAGATTTAGCTAGAATGAACAGAGGATGAAGAATCGGTGAGAATAGGTTTGATGATTGGGTATGGGTTTGTTGATAAACTTTTGTTTTATTGTTAATTTCATTTTGTACTTAATGGTAATTATGCAATAGAATAAAAACACAAATCACATTTAAAATTTAAGTTGGGTGTAAAGATAGGTTAGATGGGTTCAAATAAAACTTCCCTTCCCCATATAGCTAATTAAGCCTCCTTAACGTTGGCATCCACAAAAGCAAGAAACAAATATTAAGCTTCTCACATGCTTCTCTTTAGTTATGGTCATTAAATCGAATAAATCAAACAAAAATAACAAACATTATTAAACACGAATGTATTTGTAAGAAGCTAAAAAGTATGTACTTATGTCGCCCTACATCGACTACCACCACCACCACCACCACACCGTCGTTGTACATCTTCCTCCTCCTCCACTATCATTATGGCTCAGGTGGACTTTAATTACTCTACCTATCTCAGTCCTGAGCAATTGCGCAAAATTGCTCGTATACTTTACTACCAAGAAGCTGAGGCCATTAAGAATATCCAGTTCGAATACGAAGCCAAACTCGTGAAATACCTCCGGCATTGCAAAGCTTGTTACGAATCGGTGATAAGGCTTATGGATAATGACACTAAGTTGGAGCCTTGGTATAATAACGACGACAAGATCGGGCTTCTATTGTAAACGCTGCCAACCATCCACTCCAGTTCGTGCGCAACTTTCATGTGTGAATGGATTACGTAAACAGTATTGGAGAGCATGTCGATGGCCTTCCTGCTCACCTGGATGATGTTCTGACCAATAAGGAATTAGAGCTGGCAAGAAAAGCTTCCGAATTCAGGAACGACATGATGGAGATTGCCAAGGGCAGTCAAAGTCCCGTATCACTCCAATACTCCTGGTGGATCAAGGAAACTGGAAGTCGTTTGAAGAACTAGTGCAGAAGTATGTATATTGTGTATGTATATATTTACGGGAAGTGTTATTGCCACTCCAAAAATCTCATTCTATACTCCTTGCAAGTGTATTTTTCTTTCCAAATATAGAAAGTTTGGAGTGTAGAATGAGATTTTTGTAGTGCTAATAACAATTCCCTATATTTACATACATACACACACACACACACACACAAAACGGCATGAATATATATAGGGCACCCCTCATATAGGGGCATGTATTTATTGTATAGAACTCTCGTATTCTGGAGCAAAAATAAGGAAAAGTGAAATACATAAGAAGTTCAATATGGTGAATACATAATGTTGTATTCCTTTCAAGTGCAAATGTAAGGATAGTATAATGGCACAAGTAAGGGTGTCGAACTACAATGACTGATTAAAACTCTACAAATTACTAGCTTTATGTGAACCCTAACTAAGCAATGAAAATGAAAACTGAATTTAGATTTTTGTTTTGAAAGCTAAAGTAACTTAAAATGCAAAACAAGATAAAGATGAATGATAGATTGATTCAGAAACGATGGGAATGGAACTAGGGATACCGATTTCACCATTACAAGTCAATTCCATGAAAATTAAGTCAAAACACATTCAACTCTCCAATCTACAACTAGGGTACGTTTCACTCATTTATGATCATCCATTTGATGTGTGGTTGTGATCAAGTACTCCTAATCTGCAACCTAGTTGTGATGTTCAACTTAGATTAGCAAGTAAGAATCCATTAAGAACAAAAAAACTTCAAAGAACCAAAGAAATCACATGGTAGGATGTATGCATAGCAATTTCACATGTCTACCAAGATTAAGCATGATGTGTACTATAACCTTGATTAAATAATTCATAAGCAGCCCTAATGGTGATCAAACATTAAGGTTAACAAACAAATAAAACTATAAAACCAGTGAATGAAACAAGAACACAGATTGGTAGTTTGAATATTTTAACTTAATAACATAGAATAGTTTTGCAAGGCTACATCAAAATCCCCAGGTATGAACTTAATTACACAACATGATTACATAATATATAAATATCAAGAACAACATGAGTGAAATTAAAGTTCATAGAAGAAACCCTCTTGAAGCAATTATGATGTTGAACTTCTCTAAGAACAGCGCGGCTGCGTGGTTTCTTTGGTGTCAGCGGATGGTGAAGGGAAATAGGGTTTTGTTTCTGAAAGAAGGGCTAAAGAAAGAGGAGAGAGAGCTCTGGGCGACCTCAAAGGGGGCTTGTGTAAAAGTGATTTGAAACCCTAGTATTTATATGCTAAATGGGGCTGCATGATATTCCAAAGTGATCCCAACAACTTAGCCTTTATTTTGCACGTTTTTGCCTTATATGGCACCTCCAAATCAGGCTAGATATCTCAATTCCTTTCCCATTCTGTTCCTGGTCTTCTAACAAGCCATATTCATCTTGAATTCTTTATTTGGGCTTCAAAACAGGCCATTAAACTTTTTTCCACATTTGAATAAGGGTCAACCCCAAAAATGGCATGTTTTCACTTCTTTTGCCTTCAAATTGATCATAAAGTACATGTAACTGCACACGAACACAAAATAAGGTAAAATGCAACCAATTTAACTCAAAAACATCACAAAGAGACCAAAAATTGATGGTATAAATGCATGAAATATATGAGTTATCACATAATCCCTACGACATGTCCGATTTTCAACATCCTTTAACTTGCTTCTATATACATATATATATTTTACTTTCTCCTATGTAGGCAGGTGTTCCGCAAAATCATATTTGCATCCGGGCGGGCAAATATCAATGTAACCGTGTCTTGCTTGGGGCTGCTGGCATAGCCGTTCTTATTTTTTCTGCAGGTATTGTATGGGAAATATTTTCAGCAAACAACCCACTTCAAACGGTGGCACGTGACGCTGTAACGATTACAACATCAATTGGTGGTGCGATGATAAGAGAAGTTGTTGGAGTTGCCCTTGTATCCATGCTCACTGACAATGGTTTGTTAGTGCTCAAGGCAGGAATAACAGCCGGCATTGCTGGAGTTTTTCTTATCGGAGAATTCACCACCTGGTTGATTAATGTGACTTTTGGGTCTGGAGGCAATGCCCCATTGAGCACGATGGGGCATCGATGTTACGTCGCACGGTTGCCCGACGGCTCAGTACTGGCACGCCAAATTGCGCATCAGCAGAGGGTGAGGATGTACAGATCCTTGCCGGTTATGTGCCCTACTGCACCCAAGCCTACATATTATCCATGCTGCCAAGTTCGATCCCCACCGATCTCCTCCCCCATAGCAACTAACTATAAACCCACTAACACTATCGCTCTACTTAAAAAAATAAAAAATAAAAACATTAGGCCGCATATATATTACAACATACAACATCAAAGCCGAAAGCATATATAGATAAACCATGAAGCTGCAGATTTATTACAGCAGCAAGCCAAATGCATTTCAAAATTAACATCGAATTTATACTGAAATTACTATAATTATTGCAAATCTGATAGACAAATGTAAGCATTGGGAAAATATGATATACAAATAACTCAATTCTTTCTTTCTTTCTATTTCACATTCATTAACTCAATCAGATTATACATGTAAATTCCTTGCTTACAAAAGCTTTCAAAACCTAGAAGAAAAAAAAACACAACACAAAACTATACACCAAGTTAAACGAATAAACACCGCCACCCCCGTCTTAATCTGTTACGGACACAACTTCCTCACTCCTACCACCATCGCCAACATCAATAATAATTAACAATAATAATAAAGGTAAAGAATATACTCTCGAAAGAGCAATACCTAAAAGGGTAAGTCCGCAATTTACTTTTACTGCTAAACTGGGATGACATCATTCTTTGATGCATCATCACATCTCAACACAATACCCTCGAGGCTGGCTGGAAAGATACATTTGGCCCACTGGCATCCTGTCGTGACCGGCTCAGGTGGAGGCACAATCATCAGCACATTGTCATTTCTCTGGACAACTCCCATTACACTAACTGTGCTTCCTTCTTTAATGTACCTGCAAATACGACACTGCAGGTTAGATGTACAACCACATTAGTTCGCATCTATCAATTTCACGCTACTTGTATACAATATTATCCACACCGTCACGTGGATCAATAGTTGACAGCTACAAAACGCAGTTAAGTTAAAATACAAACTCCAATTTATTGTCTTTAAATAATCTAATTAAGTATTTCCTTACTTAGATTTAGTACCGAGTTGGTTGGCTGACTCAACTATCGCAAGGGTAAAGTTTTGGGTTGCATAGGAAAGGGTGGCTATAAACAGCTGGAGTACTTTTCAACCTGAACAAACCAACCAACCATAACTGCACATTGGCCACCCCAAATTCATCAAATGCCTCCACCAAAAAAAACCCAAGCTCAGTAGAAAGTTGAAACTGCTACATCCCGCGGTTCACACCTCCAGAGAACATGAACAATGGCTATTCAAAATTACACTATATAATCCTTATAACAGGCACCTAAGTTTTACGCATCTATAAGAAATATAAATTAAGAGGGGGAATCTCATAGAAGCAATTGTCATTATAGTGATTAAAAATGAGCTTCAAGGTAAAATTAATTGCATAACTCTAAAATTTACACCAAAAAAAAGTTAATTGTATGATAGAGCTATTACCCTTCTTTCAACCGCATAATGCGATCATTGCTTGAAAGTTTCCTCTCTCCCAGCCATCTAATAAACTCTGGAGACAGCTCTTCATGTTCCGGATTCACATCAATGACAATTGAATCATCAACATAAGGAGTCACCCTTGCCCCACAGCCAGTCTTTACCAATGCTCTTAACCCAGATTGGAAATCAGAGATGTAAAAATCTACCACACGCCTCTGTCAAATGACATAAACAGAAATTTGAGTCATAAGAGTAGAAAGAACAAGAATTTTCAAGCCTCGTAGCCACAGAAGTCCCAAGGCATCACCATGTAACAGCTCCTTGCAACAACTGAGCAGAAACATATATACATAAAAACAATTCAAATAGCAGCACTTAGCGGATAGGCAATTTAGAGTGTACACTCTGTCAACTTTAAAACACATCAAAACTGTCACAAATTTACCTGCATGCAAAATTTGCCAACCTCAAAGTCTTAAATCTTTTGAAAGTAAATGAAAAAAATAAAATCAGTTAGTTAATTTGAAAACCCCAGATCCCCATCCTAATAAGAAAAGGAAAGAAAAGAAAAAAGAGAAAGACTACGCTTTATCCATCAAATAATAGCTACGTTTCAGTTACTCACTTCTATCGACCTGAGCCCCCAAGTAAAGCGACGATGTGTAGGGTGGGCAGCTTTTGAACCCCATCCTCGATACTCATATAAACTTGTAGATGTATACACACATCTTGGAATCCTTTGAAAGGACGACTCAAGGGGCAGATTGCCACAAGTGACCACCTTCAAAAACAGAACCAGATAAGAATTGTAAAAAATTACTGGTTCTCAACAAATACAGAACAATAACCAAGCTCAACGCCCCCAAAAAAAAAAATATCCACAAACCCAACTCATTGGTATTAGAATCTACAAGATAAACGTTATACAAAAATAAAACTTCCAGCAATTAAATGCCCCAATGTATCTCCATCTCGCCCTCCTTCAGAGATCTTATTAAGATTTATAAGCCACAATTTCAAATCCATCAAACTTACCCCTGACACCTTCACAAATTGCCCGTTCTTTGCAGTCCTAAGCTCGGAATCTGAATAACTAGAAATATAACCTATGATAGCTCGTCTTCCCCAATAAGTATTCCATGTAAATAGTGTAGCAACTGCACCGAAAAGGATCACAACCACGATGAGGAGAATTGCATTGTGGACTGCACCTAGAATAAAACCACCAGCAATGAACCCCATCACGAAAAGAAGAATCAAAGACCACATAATTAGCTTTGGGAAGTTCTTCCTAAACGAAAATTCGTCATCTTGGCTAAGAGTAGTAATGGCCTGATTGTGAACAATGGAGGAACCATGTACTTTCATTGAACCCATTGACTCCAAAGGACCAGATACCTTCCGAGGGGCACCAGAAGAATTTAGTGGACCAGAAGAAATGGGTCCAGATGTAATGAGACCTGTTGCAGGGAGAACAGGAGGAAGAGGTCCTGAGTTTTGGCGGCCAGTTGGTGTTACCCCACCAGATTGAGGACCAGACGACTTCTTTAGAGGTTCCCCATGCTTATTCAGTGGTCCAGAATTTGACTTCTTTAAGGAAGCAGAACCAGGCATGCCTCCAGATGATACAGGACCTGATGTGGTATGGCCAGCACGAACTGTAGCATTAGGGATTGGTCCTGAATGTGAAGCAGCACCTCCAAAAGATCCAGTCCTTGCAGGAGGACCAGTTATAGGTCCAGATTTTCTAGACTTAGAGGCATCCGTAGGGATATCAAACATCTTCCCTAGTTCTCCTGACTTCTTGATATCTCCACCAGTATAGGGCATGGCAACTGAGCTCATAGTTGGAGTCCTTTCCTTTGGTTGCTCTGGCCGGCCTGATACGTAAAGGCCATTACTGAGTTGATGAGAATTGAATCTGGAACCCATCTTGCTCTTTTGAAAGATCCGACAAGATATTACACAATAAGCTCAACTAGCAGACTAGCAGTTCAGTGATGTGATCCTCCTACGGAAAAAAGAGGCACCAAAAAAGTTTATATCATCACTTATTGCTTATCTAAAAACCAAGTAGTAACCCACAGCCACACACAATATACTAAAACATAAATGAACTGCAGAGAACGGCCACAAAGAATTAGACTATGATGCCATCTCAGATCTCCAGTAAAGCTAAAACATTTTAAAATTTTATATGCTTCTTTCGTATGTGATGGAAAATTTATCACAATGCAATCCTAATTCATACACCACCACTGAAATAGTCTACACCCATGCCATGTTTTTTCTTCTATATATACCCACACGACAACCTATAATTACCTCTACAAGTGTACAACCATTTTCCTCTATTAAAAATACTAGCACTAAATATACAATTAGAGTTTCAGAGAATATACAAGAAATACCTTATCGAGTATAATGCTTATAATGTGGTTATGATTTGTGCCACTTATGAAACACCAACCATCCAAGGAACCAAAGTTTCATTATCGAAGTCAAGGAAACAAAACCAATCTCTGTATGTATGAATGTGCATGTGCACATAACATCTTGTTTACAAAGCAATAAGCAAAAAATTGATTCACTGTAGTTTACTTGAGTTTGAGTGGAGAGACTATTATAGACGTCAATTCATATAAGAATCTACGGTTCAAAATCATATGCACATTTAACTTTATACAACAAAAGCAGTATATCAATTCAAAGCACCATCATAACTCAAAAGAACAATATCATGGACAACCAACTGAATTAATTAAAGGATCTCTAAGAAAACCATTTAAAATATAAATCATGTTTTAGAAGGTCAGAAGCAATAATCAGATAATTAGGAGGAAGTATCAGAAATTCAGAATCTTCCATTTTTAGAAAAATGAAAAAACAAAATTTGCATCTCAAATCAAATAAACAAATCATGCCCAAATCAATGCTTTGCACGAACACCAAACATCAAGTGCTGCAGAGTTTAACGGGCATTTTAGCAATACCAAAATTCCAATGCAACAAGGAAAATTCAAGCATGTCCCTTCCAATTTCTCTACCCAAACTTTCTCAGCAACCAAACAAAACTCAAGGAAACAAAAACCAACCCAGATTTCAGGAAGGTTAATAGCCAGCATAACCATTCCCAAAATGGAAAATTTCATCAAAATGGCGCAATCTTCAAGCACCAACCACCCAAATGTCCAATCTTTCAGCCCAAATCAACAAAATAAAGATACCAAGATAACCATTTCGAGCAAAAACTAAGAAAATCGAAAAGATCTAACAAAACAAGCATAGATTGACTCTGAAACTCTCACAGTCAAATAGTAGCTGACTAAAGAGAAAAAATTTCACATGGACAGGGGCCAAATGGAAATTTAGGAATAGTTATGCACAGACATACCTGAAGGAGAAGCAGGGGGAGCTGAAATCTGGAGACGTGGAGACATATTGGCTTCACTGATAAGGACAAACAGCACCCACAAAAGAAAAATCTCAGACTTTCTCTCTCTAAAATCTCTTTTGGGGTTTATGTTTGTTTCTCTCACTAGCTAGAGAGAGAGTCAGTGAAGAGAGAGAGAGAGAAAGAGAGAGAGAGAGAGAGAGAGGCGCAGGCAAGAGGCAACAATTGGTGTGTGTTTGTCTCGTCCGGCCAAAAACCTCCAAGCCCAATAAAAGTACTTCTAATAACAACCATAAAGTATTTGTAACCATGCTTTACAGAAAAACTTAAACGGTGTTTCTAGGTCACATAGACACTTTTTGAAGAAACACATGCTAGGAAAACACTTCTAGGAACCTTTTTTTTTTTTTTCAAACAAATTATCTGCAATAAAGAGTTGGGCGAGTGAGTTAAGCTTCACTATAGGATAGCAATAATGTTATTCAAATTCGCTTTTGACGAGAATCAAACATAAAATAAGGAAAAGGGTACGATCAATGAGGATTTTCTATAGTGACCCAAAGTATGAATACATCAGATGTTTTAGCCATTAAATCTTTGTTTAAAAGTAAAAAAAAAATACCAAGATCTAACATTAAAACATTCGAAGTATCCTATTCTCCATAGGATTTCGAAATTTTTTATGACGAATGATGAACCGGCCAGTTGCCTCGTGCATCACAAGAGAAACTACTTCATTTAATCAACTCAAAAGGGGTGAAAACTGTGCAGATTGTGAGAGAAGAAAGCAGATTTGAGAGAGGCAAAGGGATGAACAAAAACAAAAAAATAAACTGATGAATTATAACACTTTCCTTTAGAACCGAGTCTTCTCAATCTTGTAAAATCCCTCACTACAAGAAGCCACACCATTACAGACACTTTCAAACCCTAGGAAAAACAATGGACAATAAATTTCTAAAATCTATACACAAGGAGAGGAAAAAAATCACGTCGTCTTAAACCGTCAAGCTCGTCACTGTTTATCACTACAACACCACCGCCACCACCGCCACCCCCATCACTTTTCACATTGGGAACAAAATATTTCTCAAAAGATTAAATACCCGAAAACGTTTCTTGGAGCACAAACAACTAAACTGGTATTACATCGTTTTTCGAGGAGTCTTCGCATCTCAAAACCACCCCCTCAAGGCTAGCTGGAAAAATACAATTGCTCCACTGGCATCCAGTTGTCAATGGCTCAGGTGGAGGGACGATCATAAGCACATTGTCATTTCTCTGGACAACTCCCATCACACTTACCGTGCTACCTTCCTTGATGTACCTACAAAACAAACATCACTTGCAGTTATGCGAGACTGACTCAGAGTAAACTGATTCATGCATTTCTTAAAAATAGTTGCAAGAACGTACAATGGATTAGATAAGTGATAAGTTTTTACCCTTCTTTCAATCGCATTGTACGGTCATCACTTGAAAGATTCCGCTCTGCCAACCACCTGAGAAAGTCCGGAGACATGTCTTTGTTCTCTGTGTTAACATCAATAATGACGGACTCATCAACGTAAGGAGTAACTCTTGCTCCATAGCCGGTCTTAACTAACGCTCTCAAACCAGACTGGAAATCAGAGATGTAGAAGTCCGCTACATGCCTCTGTCAAGCAACATAGACAAACAAGTACACTTCAGCATAAAGATCCTTAAACTCAAAAGCAACAGCATCGCTTCATGCACATCGGTCCTCCAGTTGCCAACTAAGTCATTTACGTAATATATGGAAATCCTTTTTTGAGAAAGAAAAAGGATTAGCAGAAGAAACTTTGTAGACAGAAAGCGGTAACTCAAATGTACATACATCACAAAGACAATCAACCACTTCACCTCACGCAAAATCTTTTGTAATTTTTTCCTTCTTTTCTTATTTGTAAAAAGAACAAGGTCCCTGATTTGATTTTAAAAAAAAGGAATAAAATCTCTCGTTGCAATTGTTTTACTCAAAAACGGAAAGAGTGTATAATTTCACTCGTGCAAGGCACTGAATTGAATTAAAAAATCAGTAGAAAATGAGCCCAAGAGGAAACATACTACAAGGCTAATAAAATTAAAAGGCCCTTAAGCATTAACATGAAGTTATGAACACAAATTTTAAGCAATACGTACGAAATAACAGTTCTCATGAGAAAAATGTGGCAAGGATATATTAATTATATTTGTGTGCTGTCTTTTGTTATTCAGTTAAACTTATACACGTTTAATGCCATCAAACTCTCAAGAAGTGCCTAAATATAATTTCAAAAATATGTAACTACGAGAAGTCTAAATGTATCTAATTACAATCAGATACATGTTGCCAAGTATTCAAAAGTTAACATATCCATATTCCATAGTGGGTATGGTTCTCCAATAGAGTATTCATGCTACATAATGCTAAAGGATTCAGTTACTAACCTCTGATGATCTAAGTCCCCATGTAAATCGACGATGTGTAGGGTTTGCTGGTTTGGAACCCCATCCTCGGTACTCATATAAACTCGTAGATGTGTAAACACATCTGGGAACTCTGTGGAAGGATGACTCAAGGGGAACGTTACCACAGGTAACCACCTTCAAGAATTACCAAAAATATAACATCAAAACTCCAGCATACTATTTATGCAGAAATAGATAAATGACAACGGATGGTGAACCACTCAGCAATAAGTGCCAGCCAGGATATGTTCACAGTTGCATCACATCCATATCACTATTTGAGAGCGCTTACTAGAAGTTTTTCTCATTTCAAGGTATTTCTCAATATCTTCTACTCCACATATGCTTATATTCGTATAAAATTCTAGCAATGAGGAAAATTTACAACATCATTAAAACACATGCTAATGAATGCAAATACAGACGCAGCAGCCGCTAACTTGCAAGAGAAGCTGCACAAGGCTAAGCATGACTCATAAAATCGTTTGGCCTGCTGAAGTGCCTCCTTGGTAGTTTTGATTACCATCTTTTGATTTCAGCATTCTTTTGCAGTTGAAGTGTCTACTTCTTTTTATTTTCAACTTAGGAAATACCAAGGTTTTAGCTTGGTAATGTTCATGTTGCACCTACACGCTACTGCTTTATTCTAAAGAATATTCTAGGTTTTGGCTTTGTTTTATTAGAGTAAGAGTAAAAGGTCATAATTCGTTAAAATTTGAAAGTTTATGACTTAATACATGTAAAGTTTTGTTACAAATAGGTCAGCCTTACTCTCTAACGAATGGACCCTGACTATATTTACCATCTTCAGGCTAGGTAGCTGATAAAGGACTTCCCATTTGACATCAACTTTGAACAATAAATATCCCAATCTAGGGAAAGAAACCACATATATTTTTCTTGGAAATACTGTATGACATATGTAAAGGTACAAAGACTTTTTTCCTTTGAAAAAGAAGAAAGAAACTCACCCACTTTCTTTATATCTTCAGATTAGCATACAGAAAGACATTTTTATATATGCATTTACATGTCAAAGGTAGAAAATTTTCAAACATTTAAAGCTTATTTACACAGTTGCACTATGCCACATTAAAATGTTAAAAAAGTCCAACCTGATTGTGTACTTCGTCATTTCCCACTTTTACGTAAACAGATTAACTCATCTATTCTTCCTTTACTCACACCATTTCAGTTCTCGACAAAAGATGTCATCTCTCGTATACAAATCAGTGGAGAAACACAGATGGGTAGTTGTGAAAAGTGCAATTTAATAATGTGAAATCAAAGTAAAAAGAAGTAAATATTATATATGTTAAGTTCTAAGTATGGTGGAAAAGACACACACACACAAAGTGAAAAACAACTTGGTGATGGTATTTGAGATCTAATGCAGGGAACAAAAGTACCGACTAAATATAAATATCAATTGGAAAATAAACAGTTTAGAGGAGATAGAAATATAAGATATCAGCATTAGCTATGTTACATACCCCAGAGACTTTCATGTATTGCCCATTCTTTGCAGTTCTGAGCTCAGCATCAGGATACCGAGAAATGAAATTTACGATAGCGTTTCTTCCCCAACAAGAATTCCATGTGAACAAAGCAGCAACTCCAGCGAAAAGAATCCCCACAACAGCAAGGAGTATGGCATTGTGGACTGCTCCAAGAATAAAACAACCAGCTATGAACCCCATCACAAATATCAGTACCACAGACCATAATATTGTCTTTGGGAAGTTCCTCCTGAAAGAAAACTCATCTTGGCCAAGAGTAGTCACTGCTGGATTGTTAACTGAGGAACCTTGTAATTTCATTGATCCCATAGACTCTAAAGGTCCAGATACCTTTCTAGGGGCTCCCGAGGAATTTAGAGGACCTGAAGAAATGGGACCAGATGTGATAAGTCCTGTTGTGGGAAGAACAGGTGGAATATGGCCAGAGTTTTGACGTGTCACTCCACCAGATTGAGGGCCAGAAGACTTCTTCAATGGTTCACCATGCTTGTTGAGTGGCCCGGAATTAGTCTTCTTTATTGAAACAGAACCTGTCATGCCTCCAGATGATACAGGACCTGATGTTGTATAGCTTGCCCGAGCTGCAGCAT